TTAAATGAGCAGTACAAACATCAAGCTACCTTTAATTTATGAATTTTATATTGAAAACGATTTAGTATGCATGTGTTAATTTGGTAGTCTCATCTAACCCAACATAATTGCATAATTTAACATTATGGTAGTTTCCTCAATTTGGGGTCTTGAGGCGTCTTCTCAGGGAAGACTAGAGAACTGGTCATCTCTAATGACTGGTGACAAGTCAACCTATATGCTTTGCCCCTGGCCCGGTTTTATGGGTTCTGGTTCTTACCTTCACTACTCTCATTCCCAACTCATACACAATACAAAAGACAGTGTTGAAATATCTTGTTCATTTAAAGCCAGTGAAATTGGTTTCACTTGGGACTTTAATAACTTAATTTTCTTTCATAGAGTTCTGAAACTAGCATACATAGGCAGGCACAAATAGCTTTTGGAAAATGTTTATACGCAAACCTCTAGGCAAGATTTTCTTCAATAATAATGCCATGTCTTAATCATCAGCAGGTTACAGATATGGGAAAAGTTTTATAATTTTAAAACATCTTCATTGCTTTATCACAACCAGTATTGTATATGCTAGAGAAATAACAACGTATAAAACAATGAAAATAATCCCTGTACTTATGGATTTTGGACTGAAGAAAATGACTGCATTTCAGTATGTGTCAAGTGATAAATACGATGGTGGAATTTAATGATGGGTATTGTGATGTGAAATGCTTCTGTACACAGGATCTTCAAAGACTGAAGAACATGACTTGCTGCAAACAAATGGCGTAGAGACAAAGTAATGAAAGAGGTAACAGAGTGAGCTGTAGTTTGCCTGGAGGAACAGACCCTGTAAAGGCCAGAGAAGTGGCTGTGTCTGGTTTGCTAGCAATATCCAGGAAGCCAGAATGACTGAGGAAATAGATTGGGAATGTGTGTACTACATGACAGGGGGGACAAGGAAAACAGTGGGCCTCTGAAAAACATAGCTCTCACTCTTGCAAGACACGATGCTTTGGGGGAATGTGAGTTGAGGAATGATCTGAACTGATGGCTATCTGAAGAGTAAGGTGGAGAGGGCAATGGGAAGGCTAGGGAGAGCAGTGCCAGCCAGTCCAAAATGCAGGTGGTAATAAACAACTGGGTTCTGGGAACCCTTTGAAAGTCGAAGCATTGTATTTTAGCAATGCAAATACTGAACAGTCTAACACATCTTACATTACCAACATTGGGAAAACAGTTAACTGAACTTAGCCGAATTTTATGTGGGATTGTGGATAGAAAAAACAGTCACTAACCAGCTTTTCTCCCTAGAATCTGACAGAGACTAGAGAAGAAAGTTTGTTTAAATAACTAACTACAGGCAACTGAGGAACACTGAGTGTTGGAGGTCTAGTGTTCCCTAAGGAAGAGCACACCAACTGGCTGTCATCCCTGAAGACATTCATCTGAGGAACATTGTACAGACTGATAGGTTGTTTTAAGGAATAGATGCATGCAATAACAATTAATGAAAAAAGAGGCCATGAATTTGAAAGAGAGATAATGGGTATGTGGGAGGGTTTGGAGAGAGGAAAGGAAAAAAAATGACACAATTACATTATAACTTCAAACAATAAAAGAAGTAATAAAAAAGATAAAAGAAAGTTTATTGAATTTTTATTCACTGTTTTTCTAAAAAGGCATGTTTTGTAGTATTAGAAATTGATGCAATGCTGTCTTTGAACACTATTAGTCTTCACTAACTTAAAAAGGACTCTTCTGACACAGCGATCAAGGCAATTACAAACTACTATCAGCAGCAATAGCAAAGTACCATATCAGATTCTACCAAATCAGAATTAAAGCATACATTAGAGTTTTACTTTTAAAGAAGTAGCTGTAAGCAGTGTGCTAGTTTGTCTTGATGCTTTGCTGTTTGAAAATACTGGCTTCTCTGTTCCTTAGTTTTTTAGGGTTGATTATTTGCCACTTATGCAAGTAAAAGCAATCAGAGAAACACTAGAGATAAGCCAAATCACTACTCACATATTTACCATCCACTCCTTTCATCTTTTTATCATCTGTTTTGACTCTGTAGTACATTTCTCTGATTGCTGAGAGCACCAGAGTGGCTGGCCTCTGGGAAGGAGTACTGATGCCCAGTAGGCATACAATATTTTGCAAAGTGCATATTTTTTCTCAATATCACATGGCTAGAAGTGTGAGAGATGAAGGCAGTAGCCAATGTTGAGGTGTATTTTTAAGTCTTATAATTTTTCACTAAACAGAAACTTAATAGATTATATACTCTATTATATTGTTATTTTCACTTCTGTCCTAAGCTCAAGGCAGACCTGTGGGGTGCCAATAGTCTCTTTCTTCACTTCTGTTATTTTGGTGACAGAAATACCTATCTCTTTCCTTAGAAATGTAACAAATTGAGGAATTTGGAATTGATGGAAGACAGAAATTGTAGTAGTGCTGTGTGGTAGACATGGTGTTGATTGCTTTAACTGCAATGACAGCTAGAAGAGAATCCAGCCTTCCTTGAGAACATGGCAATTTCCAATGTTGACAATTTTCTAAAGAGAAATGGGGATGCCCTCTGAAGCATTCATTACTTATTGAGTGCCTGCTCTGCTCACTCCAGAATTATAAGTATGATTAAGACATAGTCGAGCTCTCAAGGCATGCACAATTTAGTAGACATGATAGACATGTAAATACATAATTATTATGCAGGATTGCAAGGACTGTAATAAAGGTAAGTGAAGAGTGCAGTGGGAGCAGTGAGAAGAAAGCACATAATTTTATAATCCTGAGATGGGGACAGGAAAGGGAAGCAGAGCTTTCCCAGTGGAGTGGACCCTTGTGTTATGCCATGATTGGACATCTTTGTCACCAGCTTTTTTAAAAGTGAAGAACCATCACAAAAGTGAACTTTATAACAATTTGTAATCAGGAATATCTCATTTAAAGTGATTCACATATTTCTTTGATAATGTCTCTATAACATAAAAACTTACAAATGAATTGCATAACTCATAAAACAGACACTTTAAACCAGTATGCTTGGATACTTTTCCATAATCTAGTTAAATGCTAAAAGCCATTTCTTTTCCTTACAGATTTAATAAGAAAAAGAATCTCCCATGTGAATTACAACTAGTGATTCTTTTACCCCTTATCATAAAGCTAAATTGGCAACAGACTTCAAAGCACATATTCCATCACTTCATTCTTCCTTTAATAAATCCTTTTACAATAATAAAAGAGATATCAGGATTGACTCCAGTAGGCATCTTTTCTGGGAATCTTCAAAACTACACCATGGATTAATAAAGTGAGTTCAATGGCTAATTTCCACCCTTGCCCTTACTCTCCAGGGTCACAACCTGACATACTGGTGAAGAACTGTGGGAAAGTTCACACAGTTCATTTGCTACCTGTTTTGTGGCAGGTTGTGACTCAGTTCGTTGAAACTAGTAGTTTGAGTATTAAGGTCACTCAATGATACTGAAAGATATTCTTGCTCCCAGAGCAGAGCATTAATCCTGATCAATCAGTGGTGGGCTTTGTCTAGGGTCATTTTACTGCTGACAAGAGGCATAGTTTGCTAGATGTAGTGTGTCACTAAAAATGTGGGGGTGGGGAGGACCTAGTGACCACCCCTTTGTTGTCATGTCTTTGAAAACACAGAAGGCTTTTAGTAGCATGGAAAGCAATTCATACCCACAGGCAGGGAGCTTTTACTTTGAGCCTACCTTGCATTTATTAAGCACTTTGGTTTAATTTCCTCAGTTGCCACAGTTTGCAATGACTATATTTTAATCTTTAAAAAATTATAATCAAGGTTGCCATCTGTCTCTTCTGAAAACTTTGAATTTCAATCATGACATATAACAATGTCAGAGCTGAGGGAATTCCAGGGGTTCCTTAGAACAAAAAGCAACATATGTTGAGGTTTCTTCCA